AAGGTGTATTAAGCAAGGTGGTGTTGGGGCGACAGCTGAGTTTTTCGCCGCGGAGGCAATTACGTCAAAATGATGTGTTTGTTGTAATTCATACCAATGACAGTATGGACATCAGCGTATAATTTGTTAGTGTAATTTTTTACTTATATACGGCCAACACCACCTTGTTAAATACGCCTTGCGTTGTATATTAAAAAGTTTTTTTTATATTATTTATTTTCTTTTACTTGAGTTCTTAAGATCGCATTGAAAAATCCTTTCCTGAAAACTTTTATTTAGGAGCGCTGTTATTTACTCCTCAAGAAAGAGTAACATTTTAAGACACTGAATTTTATGTGTTTTTGCAAGTTTGTGAGAGTGGCATCGTTTGGGAAAAGAGCGACACTGTAACTAGTTTGATTTATTTTTTGTATCAATGTGGTTAACATATGACTTTTAAGCATGAGTGATCCTCTCACGTCATGATTTATGTACGATGAGTTGTGCTACGTCGCGACGTTGTTTGCCGGCTACCGGCAGCCGACATATGTATGTATGCGTTGACTTTCGTCGCGTCTGCGACATGCCATCAATGATGCCGTAATAAAAAAAAAAAACGAACATGACATATTTAAATTTTATTAGCTTTTACTAGTTAGAAATTTAATAATTTTACAATAGGCAAATAATTTTTAAATAATGGTCCCAAGAAAGTTATTAGCAACGTCAACGATCTGTCACTTTGAATGATATACTATTTTATTAGGGTTGGAACTGCATTAAATTGAATATTTCAAATATTATATAAATGAACAACGTAGGGGCTATCACACACACACCTGTTAGATAATATTCCCAATCGACATAATTACATTTGTACCTTTTGTTCTTATCTTTCATTTGGTTTCTTCAGTCATTCACTTTTCACTAAATTTATAAATATCATTTTTAAATTTGTTTAGTTCAATAAACGCTTATCATTTTTACCAAAGGTGACATACCACTCCGAATTGTTATCAAATTATGTTAATCTCCAAGATTTGCTAATTGAGTGGAAAATACATATGTACATATGTGCTTACATACATACATACTTACATTACTACTGAAATTGAGGAAATATGAAATAATTTATTACTGGTTTACGGAGGTATTTACTCGTAAATTGAATATTTAACCACATGTGCGCCTAGTTCGTTATTTGTCAAAGTTTTCTTTCCTTAGTACAAAGATTACGTTGAATTATTTTGCACCGAGTCAATCAGTAAACATCTGATAATCAATTGATTCGCCGCGTTGCAATTTAATCGCAACTTTATGACACCTGCTGGACTAAGGGTCAGTTTCGCTATGTCTGCTCAACACTAACTGCAGGTTAAACACCGCTATCGACGTGATCGACTCCATTATATATAACAGCGGGTCAAAAACGATGCTTAACCTGGAGTTAGTCTTAACCAGACACTGAGAAACTGGCGCTAAGAAGTTTAGTTGTTGGTTTTTCGTATGTACATATATATATTTATAAATACATATTAGGGTGTTTGTTTATTCGCCTTTTTTCTTAAACCGGTTTTCGACTTTGAAATTAGGAAAAAACTGGAGAAATCGGTTTTTATTTTACATAGCTTTTATACAGTGAAAATGCTTATGTTGGTGTGAACTCATGGCCAAAAACTATTAACAGTAAACATAGCTTTTGTTTAGAAAAGAGCAAAGCAAAATAATCTCAAAGTTATTTTTTTTTAATCAAAAGTAAAACAAATAAAAATCAGTGAAAAATTCATCTTTGGTCTTATTTTAACTTTTTTTAATTCCTTATTGCATCTGGTCCCAGCAACATCAAACACATTTTTTTTTTTAAATATCGGTCGCCCTTCGGCAGACAATGGCAAACCTTCGAGTGTGCTTCTTCGGAGGTGAAGTAAAAGTGTTAATCTTTCCATTTGTGTCGCAACATCAAGAAGCAGAACACGAATTGGAGCAGAAGCTCGGCCAAACATATAGAAACCGTTTGAGCGCCAAACATTCAGTTATTGGAATCATATATGAAATAAAACTATGTATTTAGTGGTTTCCCTTAAACTGGAAAAAGATTTGAAACCTACGAAAAACTCAAAGCTTTTGTTGGGAAGTCAAGATTTGTATGAAGTGCAGAAAGTCGGTTTGTTCGATATTCGATATTCGAAAAATCAAGATTTCAAAAAAACTGCCTATAGGTATCCAAAAAAAAAAACGGTGGAAACCGGTTTCTCCAAAGACACACTTTCCATTTAGTAAATATTGATGCCCCACAAAAAGTTGTTGTACGTACAGATTGCTGATTGTGAGATAGGAATATGAGCTTTGGAAAAAGTTGGCAAATACTGCCCTCAGGGCAATGCACTCTCACCTCTCTTGTGTTGAAGTGCATCACTTCGATCGCATCCACGCTTAGGATTGTGCACTAGCGTCTGGAAAATCTCTCAGAGAGATTTGTCTAACTTTAGAGGATCCTGAAAATGATTGATGAACTGCACATTTTCTTCCATAAGTATAAAAATTTTGTTGAGCATACTTTGTATGAAAGAAAATGCATGACACTGTCCACAAACAAAAAGTTGTCAAAAATCAACAGTATTTTGTTTTGAAACTTGCACTTTATTATACTAAAATTGCATGAGCTACAAAACTGCATACCCGAAAATTTTCTGCAGGGCATTAGGATAGCACACCCCTTTGTTGGCATGTTTTTTAAATTTGTATAAAATATTTAAATCGGATTTTCACGTAGAATATGCTACATTTTTATAAAAAAAAAAAATAACGAATATTAAACAAACAAAACTGTACATACTCCGGATCCAAAGGGTGGGCTATTCAAATGACTGGGGGTGTATGCATGGAAATATCCCTCTTTGCGCTCCAACTCAGTCACAGTCGAACGGCTCGTCTAATTAGCCCCCTTCCTCACTCCTAAAACCAGTTTAACCGTTATTTTA